GTAGCCTGCAGGAGGAGGGAAAAAATGGCAGAGAATGTCACCATTACATGGGAGAGACTGTCACCATTACATGGGAGAGACTGTCACCATTACATGGGAGAGACTGTCACCATTACACGGAGTCACTGTCACATGTAAGAGGCTGTAAATGTCACATGGGAGAGACTGTCACCATTACACGGAGTCACTGTCACACTGGAGAGACTGAAAATGTCACACGGGAGAGACTGTCACCGCCACAAAGGAGAGACTGTCACCATTACACAGAGTCACTGTCACACTGGAGAGACTGTAAATGTCACATGGGAGAGACTGTCACTGTCACACAGGAGAGAATGTCACTGTCACATGGGAGAGACTGTAAATGTCACACGGGAGAGGATGTCACTGGGGCCCAGTGCCCCTGTGGCCCCGCCTCTCTCTATATATATATATGCCCTTGAACCTGTGGAACACACAAGCTGCATACAGGAAGTACAAAGCTGGGTAGTGGATGTTAACCCCAGAGGTGTGAGACTACAGTGCCCCCCTACTGAGGCGCTGAATTAAAACAGACAGATGAAAATGAATAAATAAACGGCAGGGAACAGCATAGCCCCAGAGACGAACCCGTGGCGTGATCTGCTGGTGTTGTCACTTTGGATTGTGTTCCAGGCAAAACGACAAGCCATTGACACAGTTGTTTTATTTGGGGATTTGACGCGGTTCACTGCAGCTGTAATGAAATGTCACAAACAAATCCCTCCCCCCCAAACAGAGACACTGGGCCTTCTTTCCAGTTATTGGCATTTAGCATTGAGTAGTTTGCGGTGTGATTAGGAGGCAACGGGGAAGGGAAATCAAATAAAGAGCTTCTGGAACGATCCTATTGATTAGCAAGTGCTTCAATCTCTCACCCCTGACTGCTCACCTCAGAGAGGTGCATTGAGGTGCCTTTAAATTGAAAGGCGTTATTCACCTGAGGTAACTACTTTTGTTTCTGAGTAATTCTTTGTGCTTTTTTGGTTAAAAGAAAGTACATGAGCAGGCATATGTGAGCAGGTATACATGAATAGGTATACATCCATCCATTATTTCCCGCTTATCCGAGGTCGGGTCGCGGGGGCAGCAGTCTCAGCAGGGAAACCCAGACTTCCCTCTCCCCGGCCACTTCATCCAGCTCCTCTGGGGGAATCCCGAGGCGTTCCCAGGCCAGCCGAGAGACATAGTCCCTCCAGCGTGTCCTGGGTCTTCCCTGGGGCCTCCTCCCAGTGGGACATGCCCGGAACACCTCACCAGGGAGGCATCCAGGAGGCATCTTAAGCAGATGCCCGAGCCACCTCATCTGGCTCCTCTCGATGCGGAGGAGCAGCGGCTCTACTCTGTCCCTCCCGAATGACCGAGCTCCTCACCCTATCTCTAAGGGAGAGCCCAGCCACCCTGCAGAGGAAACTCATTTCGGCCGCTTGTACTTGCGATCTCGTTCTTTCGGTCACTACCCACAGCTCGTGACCATAGGTGAGGGTAGGAACGTAGATCGACTGGTAAATCGAGAGCTTTGCCTTTTGGCTCAGCTCCTTCTGTACCATGACAGACCGATGTCTGACCGATTTTATCTGACCGATCCTCCTGTCGATCTCCCGTTCCATCGTCCCCCCACTCGTGAACAAGACCCCGAAGTACTTAAACTCCTCCACTTGGGGGAGGACCCCATCTCCGACCCGGAGAGAGCATTCTACCCTTTTCTGGCTGAGGACCATGGTCTCAGATTTGGAGGTGCTGATTCTCATCCCAGCCGCTTCACACTCAGCTGCGAACTGTCCCAGCGAGAGCTGAAGGTCAAGGTCCGATGAGGCCAACAGAACCACATCATCTGCAAAAAGCAGAGACCTAATCCTGAGGTCACCAAACTGGACACCTTCCACGCCCTGGCTGTGCCTAGAAATTCTGTCCATAAAAACTATGAAAAGAATCGGTGACAAAGGCCAGCCCTGACGGAGTCCAACCCTCACCGGAAACAAGTCCGACTTATTGCCGCCCATGCGGACCAAGCTCTGGCACCGGTCATACAGGGACCGAACAACCCTTAAAAGGAAGCCCAGCACCCCATACTCCCGGAGCACCCCCCACAGGACTCCCCGAGGGACACGGTCGAATGCCTTCTCCAAGTCCACAAAACACATGTAGACTGGTTGGGCAAACTCCCATGAACCCTCCAGAACCCTGTGGAGAGTATAGAGCTGGTCCACTGTTCCACAGCCAGGGCGAAAACCACACTGCTCCTCCTAAATCCGAGGTTTGACAATCCGGCAGACCCTCCTCTCCAGAACCCCCGAATAGACCTTACCAGGGAGGCTGAGGAGTGTGATCCCCCTATAGTTGGAGCACATCCTCTGGTCCCCCTTCTTAAAAAGGGGGACCACCACCCCGGTCTGCCAGTCCAGAGGCACTGCCCCTGATGTCCACGCGATGCTTCAGATGTGTGTCAACCAGGACAGCCCCACAGCATCCAGAGCCTTAAGAAACTCCGGGCGGATCTCATCCACCCCTGGGGCCCGGCCACTGAGGAGCTTTTTAACTACCTCAGTGACCTCTGCCCCAGAGATAGGGGAGTCCACACCCAAGTCCCCATACTCTGCTTCCACACTGGAAGGCGTGTCGGTGGGATTGAGGAGGTCTTCGAGGTACTCCTTTCACTGACCAAAAACGTCCCGAGTTGAGGTCAGCAGCACCCCACCCCCACTATAAACAGTTTTGATGTTGCACCGCTTTCCCGCCCGGAGCCGCCGGATGGTGGACCAGAATCGCCTCGAAGCCATCCGGAAGTCGTTTTCCATGGCCTCGCCAAACTCCTACCATACCCGAGTTTTTGCCACAGCGACCGCCGAAGCTGCATTCTGCTTGGCCTGCTGGTACCTGTCAGCTGCCTCTGGGATACGACTCCTTCTTCAGCTTGACGGCATCCCTCACCACTGGTGTCCACCAGCGGGTTCGCGGATTGCCGCTGC